TTGAAAGGTCAGATGGGTGTTGGAAAAAAGGGGCGTAATAACAGCACTAGACAACGGGTCTTCCTCTCCCTCTTACTCAGAGGCAAACGGCTCTCTCCATCACTCTCCATCGCAAACCAAGTCTCTGACGCTTAAACACAAAGTTGTTTTTACAGAAAAAAACACCTATGCTGGGAGTCACAAAAACAGGTCTGGAAAGCGAAGGCAGGCCTTTTTTGATGGCTGCACTTTACGACTGTGTGTGAACTTTGTGGTTTGAACAGGGAGCCCGAGAACAGCATGTGCCTTTGAAAACACTCATGTTGGATAATGGCGACGAAAAATGTGCTTTAAATCTGTGAATCCGTCCTCCAACTGTCATTCTATGTCATGTAGGTGCGTGTGTCTTGTATATAAACCAAAACAGCGTGAACACACACCCATGCCTGCACGCGGGTGTAGAGGGAGCCACGCTCTGGGAGGTCAGAGTGATCCAGCCATCTGCTACTGCAATCAGACACTGAAGCAGTGGCCTGACACACACACACACACACACACACACACACACACACACACACACACACACACACACACACACACACACACACACACACACACACACACACACACACACACACACACACACACACACACACACACACACACACACCACACACACACACACACGGCAAGTTCACATAAGCACAAACATACACACTTTGAGCATGCATTACCCAAATATACACATGCTGTGCCCAAAACAGACACACACACATTTTGAAAGGGCTGCCTGCCAACACACAAGCAAGCACACACACAAGCAAGCACACACACAAACTCACACACACTGTCGGCAGGCTCAGATTGCAGGAAGCTCTTTGCACGCAGCTCAGTCCACAGCAGCCGGTACTAATCAGCACAATCCACCTGCAGATCGTTATGGATCGCTTACTGCAACTCACAGGCACAAACACACACACACACACACACCACACACACACACACACACACACACACACACACACACACACACACACACACACACACACACACACACTCACCCCATGCACACACAAACTTGCTTGAACACTTTACTAGCACGCACAGGCTTGACACGTGCAATCAATACTTTAACTGAACACTTTTAAACACTCACAATACTGAATATGCATGTTCACGATAGTCAGAAAAGCAAACAGTGCTCCAATATAATGTCTATAGAAACTCATTGTGTATTCACGATAATCAATGGTGACTTGAAAGTGAATTGTTTAAAATTAATTTTCTAATCTCAATGTATCAAAACAAATGTAAGTACTTGAACACCCCCTACTTATCATATTGTATATGTAATATCTTATGTACTGTGTGTATATTTGCTTTATTTAAAATCATTTTTACACTTTATTCCACCTTTTAAATATTGTAATGATTGAACAGATCGCTGCTGCAACAAAACAATTTCCCAATTTGGGATAAATAAAATATCTATCTTTTTATCTATCTATGCAACTGAAATATCAACACAGCATCTTTTCTCCCTCCCGCGAACACGAAATCACACACGCACGGGCACGCACAAGCATGCACCCCCACCGGTGTTGTCGGGCTAACCGGTTCCCCAACAGGCGCGCCACGCTGCGTTAGCGCGGCCTCACCGGGATAATTACAGCCTGGCGCGGCAGGGCGAGCGTGGCTCCGAGCCAGAGAGATGAGCGAGAGGGAGAGAGATAGTGAAAGAGAGAGAGAGAGAGAGGGATTACTGGAGCAGTGAGAGACCTATAGATTAAACCCTAATCAATAGGCTGCTAAATTCATCGATGCAATCAATCAGTGCAGCCACGTGACATAAATAACCAACACGATCAATCACACTTCTTATTTCGACCTGGGGGGATTCCCATAAGTGCCTATCCTCACCCCCTCCCCCCACCCCTCCAATACGCGTGGACAAAAACATTGTGCGTCTTTTTTTTTTTTTTATAGAATAAAGATTAAAACCTTCAAACGAGCCTTATCTGAGAGGAAGGAGAAGCTGTGGCGGCTCTCAGCGCAGCACAAGAAAGATCTCTCCACCCCCTCCTCATTTTCTCCCCTCCCCTCCCCTCGTCTGTCGGCCTCTGTCGAGTTCCGCTCATAACCTCGCCACCCACCCTCCCAGTTCCCCGCCTCTCCCTGCTTTCCGCTGCTGGCTGGGAGCGCGCGCGCACACCCACACACACACACGCACGCACACGCACACAGAGCAAAGGGAGACACACACACAGAGCAAAGGGAGACACACACACACACCTCTTTATAGCTCTCTCGCTCTGACACGCACCCACAAGCATGCACAGCCTTGCGCGCACACACACACACACACACACACACTGATGACACACACACAGGCAGGCAGCGTCAATAAAAAGCCCAGCGCTGTGAGAGGCCGCCGGCACTCAACTCCCCCCCCCCCCCCCCCCTCCCACACCCCCCCCCTCCTGCCACTGCGATTAGCGGAGGCTGGCTGGCTGGGGAGAGGCGCCCCTCTGTTATCTGGGGCGGTGGCAGCCTGTGTGTGTGTTGAGAGAGAAAAGAGAGCGAGCAAGCGAGAGAAGAGGGAGAGATTAATTTAACTCTTTCGGGGCCGGATCGCAGCGCTGGAAGCTCTGCTCGCTCCGCTCGGAAAGCAGCACAGCGAGGCTGATGAAAGGCAAGACGAGAAGAGGCACATTCAACACACGATCCTCGAGAAATACAGACGTAGCAGGGTTATAATTAGGCACCAAGGTCAAGCACTCGGTAATATTTCAGGGGATTCTGGGGGATACGTGATCAATTACGAACAATGTGTTAAGGCTAAATCTGATATTTTTCTAAGACAATATGTTAGGGATTTGCATTCTCTACAAGAGCTATAGTAAAGATGTATATAATAGAGTTGAAAAGATGAATCAATTAGTCGATCAACAGCAACTTAATTGCCAACGATTATAATGTTAACTTGATTTGCTTGAAAAATACTCAAATATAATTTTTCAAGCAAAAAATGCCAAACAATTGCTGTTGTAAGCTGTTCAATTGTGAAGATTTACTATATCATATCACAGTAAACAGAATTTATTTGGGTTTTGGCCTCTTGGATGACAGTTTGAATAGTCAGCTTGGTAAATTCATAAATATGAAGCGTAACTTTTTTTGTTTTAATAAATACATTGTTTTTGGTTGGTGACACAACATCTGGGGGATTTTGCTGCAAATCTTGGCTACGGTCCTGCAAATACGGCTGCACTTACTAAAAAGGCAATAATCTGCACAGGAGCCAATAATTAGTTAAAAGGGGAGCCTAGTTACATTTTTCTACAATAATGTATTTAAATGATCACATTTCCAGATTTTCAACTGATTTTATTTCTCATGCATTCAGGTTCATGTTGGTCTTTAGACAGCATCAACTTCAATTAGATAACTTCACCACAGGCCTTTAGAGATCTCTGAACCACAACAGTATCACAACTGTAATGTATACATGTTGAGCTTTGTTGTGTTCAGCTCTGCCTGAGAAAAAGAGATCACAGATTTAAGGTCAGTGTCAAACGGAGAGTGAGAAATCCTGAGCAGCAGCTTCTTTTCATAAGCTGTCTTTGATTTACGGCCATTGTGAAATAGAAGCTACCCGTTCATTTGGTATTTCCTTGCACACTGGTAAGAGGGATGGACTACGATTTTAAAGAAAACAACTGAGCTGTTAAAACATCTATACATTGGAGCTGTAATAAAACTGCAATGTCTCATTAGGAAAAAATGGTTTGAGTGCTGAATGCCAAAGACAGAAAAGAGAAGTTGGATAAAAACCTTGTTGGTTTAAGTCTTTCATGGGATTTGTTGACAATAGGTTAAGACTGTTGAGGCGGCAACACATGGGCTGCACCTTGAATCTTTGCAAAATAACTAAGATTTAGTTTTGAACATAAAATCCACTCCAAGATTTGCATCAAATGCCACTCCTTGATGTCTCCATATCAGCAAAAAAGGGGTAATTAGACACATTCTTGCAGGCCTGGTAAAGCTCCAGTTCAATACCAACAGCCTGGAGCAAAACTAGCTAATTAAAACATTCAATGCAAAGGGCTGCACAAGAACTTCCAGTCAATTATTTATAATTTTAAGACATCATTCATGCAGGCTGTAATCTCCCCATTAACCTCTCCAGCCTTATATTTACAGTGAGCGGCGGGAGAGCCGAGTTTAGGAGGGGGGGTTATACCCTGCACCACATCCCCGCCTGTAAATACTGCTAGGCTCTATAATAAACAGCAGCCGGGTAGAGGCTGCTGCAGAGGAGAGACAAACAGCAGCGGGCCTGCGAGGTGACAGAGCCCCGGCTTGTTTTTCAGCGTCTGGGCTGCTGCTGCTGTCGCCTCTCTCCCTCCCTCTCTTCCCCTCTCTGTGCGTCACAGCTAGGTCATGGCCGGACTCCAACAATGGCTCCGGTTTCTCGAGCCACATGCACGCGCGCAAACACACACACGCAGGCACCAGGAGCACACAAACACAGATCTGACAAATGATAGGGTGGCGAAGCGAGGCGAGCTAATAGTAGGCAGTGTGCGCCTGCCGACATGCCCGTGGGCCGCGGGTGTTAAATTGTATCCAATTACGGCGCATGCGACGATACGAGTGGTGGGGGGGATAATAATTCTTCTTGCGTGACAGGCAGATTCGTTTATTTCCAGGGCTCTTTATATGGAGGGGGTTCGGGGCTCGAGTGTGCGGGAGAGCTAGGTGCGTGGAGGAAAAAAAAAAGTCTCGTTTTCTTGAGGACATGACGCACATATTTCATTAATCAAAATCCAGTTAACCAGATTTGGAGACACGGCAGGGGCCAGCAGGATCGGACCAATAATTAATATCCATTATTTAGGCAGCCCAGGTCTAAAAGACGTCTGCACATTCAACACTTCATGGGAGGCAGGGTAGTGGCATGAGGGAATGAGGGATTACATCAATGTGAAAATGAAATAAACACGCCCAGTCTCAGCTTTGTTATGAAATGTCTCTCCTGCTCATTTATTTGATGGAGTGCACAGTCAAGTAAAACCAGCAACAGTGCCTAAAATGGGGTTTAGGCAGTGTGTGTGGACATGTGTGTGTGTATGTGTTTGTGTGTGTATAACACAGTGGTGGGGCTCTGTAAACTGCAATCTAAAGTTGCGCTCTAGTGTCATTGACGCCGAGCAGAAAAGTTCAAAAACCCAAGGGTAAAAAGGGGTCAAGAGTGGGTTCATTAGTTCAACCTGTCAGAGAGGCAGCTGACAGCCGGCAGCTCGCACAGACAGTGATGAAACCACCACGATGTGTGGAAATACCAAATGGGCTGCATGAGGTTGAATATAAAGCGACTCCATTATCCCGCCAATCACACCTCAGCACCTCTGACAAGGGCCAGGAGGTGATGAACCATCACAGGCTGTTGCTATGGCATGTGTGCGTGTCCTCGATTTGGACCTGTTTTGACAGGGACTTTCGAGAGAGCACGTGTGTCTGTATGTATGTGTGTGTGTTCGTGTTGACTGATTAACAATACATGTTTTGTAGTTGTCCATAAGGCTATGTATTTAAACTGTCATGTGAGAGCAGCAGGTTTGGACATATTCCAGTCCAAGGCACGTACAAAAATAGAGTGTACACTTAAATATATATGGTACAGTGATAAATACAGTATATCAAACACATGTAGAATTTCATTAAAATACAAAACAACCGTTCAAAGTAACACTTGTGCGAAACAACAATAAAGTCATATGCAAGGAGAAAAACATAACACCTTATTATGATTGCCTTTCAGTCGTTCCTTTTCCCCCCCTTTCACTTTTGCGGTGTGCCAAAACACTGCAGAGTGCAGGAGTGAAGAAGGCAGTGCAGAGAGGGGAAATTGTTTTAAAACCTTTGGGATGCAGCAGATGCCTTTGACATTAGGAGGATCTTTAGAGCCGATCCTGTCTTTGCTCCTCTCCCATAGTAGTATAGCAGGGAGCTGCAGCTCTGCTCGCTGTGTGTGTGTATGTGTGTGTGTGTGTGTGTGTGTGTGTGTTTTTGTGTGTGTGTGTTCTTTAGGATATTAAATAGTAAGGATGGGGATTAATAATGAACCTACAGCTCATCTCCGCCTCCTATCTGCCTTACTGTCCCCCAATCTTCCTTTCATTCCCTCTCTACCTCTTGTTCCTCTCTCTCTCAGTTTCTAATCCGCTGGCGTCTCTCTCTGGCTGTGACCCTCGTTCGTGCTCCATATCCTCCGGGCTCTTCCCCTCTATCCCTCTCTCCCCCTCTCTCTTATTCTCTCCGGCTCTCTCTCAGGGCCCTCGTCTTTCAGGGTCATGTCGGGGAGTAGAAGAGCACGTTGGTGTCATTGTCGTCGTCGTCATCGCTGAGGTCGACCAGGTCAGCCTGTGTGTAGCGCACCGCCCCGGGGTGGTACTCTCCAATCAGAGTCCTGTCATACAAGCCGGGACTGCAGAGCCAGCTACAAACAGACACACAAGCAGAGGTTGAAATGAACACACAATGATTGTACTGGTTTGCATTCACCCGAGCAGGCTACATTAGGTTTTTTTCCTCTTTGTTTTCATTTCATTTCATTTCAAACCTTTATTTATACAGATAAATCCCATTGAGATCATTGATCTCCTTTTCAAGGGAGACCTGCTCAAGTAGTTTCCACATGAAACATAAAAGCATAAATAGAACAACAAAAGGACATCATACAGCATCATTTACATAATTATCCACATATATTATTATTATTGTTCTGGTCATCCATTCACAATAAGATGCTTTTATGCACACTTAAAAGCATCTTATTGTGGTGTTTTCATTTATAAATGAAACACCACTGGCTGTTCACACATAGGGACTAAGAGGCACTAGAGGCTGTTGTAATTTCGAACAACATAACATGGTGCTGTCATTTAAGATGAAAAAATGTCAGTGCCAACCTGGAAAGTGAAATAAAGTTGAAGTTTACTCTAGTATACTAAGGGTGCCACAATGCCTTTTTCTTCAACACATTTTGTTATTTTATACTTATGGTATTCTAGACACAAAATACCAGATCTCAAATGAAATGGAGGAAAAGCGTATTGTCCCGGTCAATAGCACTCAATATGAATAACTTTCTAACTACGGGGACTTGAATAAGAAAGAACTTGAACCACTTTGTTGATTGACAAATGACAAAAATAACTGTCCAATAACAGCATGTAAAATGGTACGTCATTTACATGCTCGATGCTTGCAAGTTAAAATACACAAATAAAAAAAGGTTGCTTTTCTGCTGATGCTTTCTAATAAAAAAATCCCTGATCATCTTTACTTGGGTCAAGAGGAGCTAGAGATGATTCATCGGCAAGCTGAAACCAGGGTAGTACATTTACTAGCACGCAACTTCCAACACCAGGTTTCTGTGAGCGCATCCTCTCTTTCTCTCAAGCACACTGAACGCACTAAGCTTTCCCCTAAGGATGCTTCTCTTATATTTCGAGTCATCATTCTCAACTCAACTTCTGGTGAGTAGACAGATAAAGGAATAGTAGAGCAAAATCTTTGAGTGGAGCAGACATATTGACGTTACTAACTCCCTTTTTCAGGCACTGGCCCATTAAGTCATTAACACCATTTTTTTTTATCAAGCTCACATTGTAATGGCACTAATATAAATGTCCATTGTCTCAAATCTTTCTGGTGTCTGATTTGGGGGGGCTGTGTCATTTCTGCAACTTTCTGAAAACACTGTCAAGGCGTGATTGGCCCGGCTGTGAAAGGAGCCAGGGTTTGAACTTCAAGCGCTATTTTCAATTATTTACACAACTACTTTAAAGTGCAACACCATGACTGACTTTCAAGAGTGACTTTCTTGCAAGTGTGTTCTGTTAACCCCTATATGTTTTTGACAAAATTGCCATAAAACGTCTTTGGGCGTCCAGCTTTTAGCATAGCCTTGTTTGGGTTAAAAATATATAAAATCTATTTTTTATAGCATACCTTGTGAGAGGCAATAGAGAGTTTGCTTCTTTGAGTTTATGTGAGTGTATAAAGGGCGTTGGGGCCAGAAGGAGCATACTGACGCCTTAAGTGTGAAACAATGATTCAAGCCTTGGAGAGGATTGACTTTGTCTGGTCACTCATTTAAATTGTTAAACTAGTCAAGCATGCAATAAAAGACGTAATCAACCTTTAGTTATGTTGATTTTGTCGGAACACTTTGTAACGGCTGTCCTGCATGGTTAACAGATAACATTTATGACCTGCAATCAAATCACTATTTCATGCTCATTCAGTTGTGTGACAACAGAAACAGGGAATAATGAGACATTTAAATTCCACTGTTTTAAAACACAGTATAGGTGATTACATAGATCAAAAGATAATGGCTCCTATTTTGCAGAGTAACCAGGCTGAGTCGCCTACTCTTAATACATGGCTGGCATGACGCATGGTTTTAATGTTTAATGGCAGAAAGAGGCGTTTACACATAAACAGCATTTTCAAAATAAGCTTGCTTTGTGTGTACCTAGCTCTAAGATTGCAGTGAGACTTATGGGGATTTGGAGCAGCTTTTTCGTGCATACACACAGAAGAGGAAGAAATGAATGGTGAGCTCATTGCAGAGCCACAGGCAGTTCAAGCTGTGCGGCTAGAATGCAGATCAATATAATGGAAGGAAAGATTGAAGCGCGGGGAGAGAGAGAGGAAGAGTACACAGGTGGGAGGGAGATGCTGCACTAAAGTGAGCGGCAGAAATAATGTAAGGGAGATAAATACCAGATATGTTGTAACAGGCAACAGAAGAGATGGGAAGAGACACACACACAGAGAGATAAAGATAGCGATATGAAGAGATGGAGGAGGAGAGGAGACGAAGACTGAGAGGAAGAGATGAAAAGAAACAACGGCGGGCTAGATATAGCAAGGGATACGAGGCGGAGAGAAAGTTTACATGTGCAAGAGGAACAAGGTTACTGAGAGAAATCTGGTGACATAGGTGATTAGTAGACAAGTTTATGAAGACAGCAGTAACCTAGTTATTGTAACTTTAGTTTGAGCATTCACTCAGAGCGGGAAATGCTCTTTAGCGCAGGAATGGTTGGGAAATGTTTGCTTTTATTAAGAGTTTTACAATACGATTCTCAATTGAAAGCATTAGAAAAAAGGGTTACTATTCTTCAGATTCTTTCTCCAAACATTTCAGTCATAGTTGTAGCGCTTGCTCAGTAGGTAGATCAGTTGTCAAGTTTTGATCCCCCTGCAGTCAAAGTGTACTATGGCCTTTAACCTTTATTTGGGCAGGGTAGATAGACCTGTATATGGAGACCTATGCTATGACAGTGCTACGAGTGAATGTGTATCCCTCCTGATGAGCAGCTGGCACCTTGCATGGCAGCCTCTGTCTCCAGTGTATGTGTTTGTGTGACAGTGTTTTGACACTCGGAGCTCCCCATAGACAAACAATTGAAACCCCCACCCCCATTGCCTCCACCCTCACTCAGATCATAGACTGTATATACACTGTGAGCTTCAACTTTAGCCTGGTTTTTTGGCCTGTATTTGAATTGATCTAGAAAAACTTTCTATTGTTTTTGTTTGAAATGTATGTTCAGATTACTATCACTAGACTTATTTTAAGAGAATACATTTTTTTAAGGATTCTCAGGCCTGTTCAGAACTGGTATTAACAGTGAAGTCTTTGTACGTTTCTGCATGAATGTGTGATTTATATTACAGTAACAACTGACACACAATAAACCAGTAACAAAGACTATTTTCCATTCAAATATGTAGCCTATTTTGTATATGTAAAAGGTTAATGTTGTACACGTATCTTTGTATACAAAGCGGGGAAATGCGCTTACAAGCGGTCACTGAAGACGCGTGTGAGACACATTCTAATGGCAGGTGTCGTGTATTTGCATTGAACATCGGGTAATGACATCCTCGGAAAGTCACAATGATATCGAGAAGGCTCATATTTGTATTTAAAACATTCTTTATTGTTCTCATACTGCCTGTGCTGCAGCACCTCTTTTCACCCTCTGTCTGAAACCAGAGCCCAGTCTGCTCTGATTGGTTAGCTGACCGGCTCTGTTGTGATTGGTCAACCGCTTAGAGATGTCCCGCCCCTTAGCCTATCACGTATAATATGTTGGAGCCCTAGCCAATAGAAGCTTAAGTGATACATACTGATGTCATTATGTAAACAAAGTAAACAAAGGTGACAAATGAAGGTGTTTCAGGCAGTGGGGGGGGGGGAGTGTTTGGGAGAGAAACTCAACTTTGAGATTTTAGCCATTGCAGACAATTTACACAAACACCTATATAACACACTACAGAAAATGGAAACTCTCAACAATGATGATAGGGCCTCTTTAACAAGACCATCTCTAAATACTAGCTTCCTTTGCACCTGTCCCTTTTAATTTTTCAATTACACAAACATGAAGTTTATAGTGAGATTGTCGTTTGTAAGCTCACTACAGTTAGACTGAGTGATGGTATACATCGCATCACTTCACACCTTCATACTGCAGAACTAGTTATTTAGCTATTAAATCCAAAATGCTTCTAAGTTCTTGCCAGCATTCAAGATGGCCTTAGGACACAGTTTTGCATTTGAAATACGATTATGAAACGCTGAGAAGCACATAGGGTTATTAACAAAGTTGGAAACCACAATCAAAGTTTGGGAAGAACCTGAAAGGGACAACGGAAAGGAAGGTATATTTAGTGTCCTACACTGTCGCCACATCAGGAGATGATCCCTTAACTGTGAGTATGAAGAGGAGGGACCCGTTCGTTGTACACGAGGCATGCGAGTAGTGAATAAAGACCTGAGCCAATCCCTTTAAAACGCATGTAAATGCACCGCAGGCAAACAGCACGAGAGACAGGGTGAGGAGGAGTGGGGGGTGAGTCTGGTACGAAAGCGCAGATTTGTAGCGTTGAGTGAGGAATGCTTTGACGCTGTAACAAGCCCCCCCCAGCAGCCCCCCACCACCACCTCCCCTTCTCTCCTCGCCAATCTCGACCTGATGTGTGGGGGCTGCTGGGAGTCGCATGCCAAGATGAATAACAACCGGCTGTTAGTCACGACAGAGCACGAACACACACCGTCTCTCTCTCCCTCTCTCTCCCTCTCTCTCCCTCCCTCCTCTCCTCTCTCCTCTCTCTCTCTCTCTCTCTCTCTCTCTCTCTCTCTGACACACACAAACAGCATTTTCTCTGTGATTTACGAACACATTGAGATTCCATTTCACTCCTCTGTCTCTGTGTGTCTCTCCCGACTCACCACAGTGCAACATTGACATTTGGGTTGAAGGTCATACCACACATTCCAGTCTTCCACATTGTGCTCATGACCCGTTATCAACGTGGTTGGTGACACTGAGTAGATTGCAGTGTGTGTGTGTGTGTGTGTGTGTGTGTGAACTGAGACTACAGAGTGTTTTTTTTCCTTTCTGGTTCGATACCAGCTTTGGCTCATATCCGCAGATACTGCCAATGTTTGTAGATTGAGACAAATCTGTGGGGAATGCTATTGATTGTGGTGTTTATTGAAATGCAACGGTTAGGATTTGCAGTTCAATTGTCGAAAAAAAACAAAAAACATTTATTCTTCATAAGATTCCCCTAAAAGCTCCATTTGTAAAATATATAATGAAAGAAAGTCTTAGTTATTTGTTATTTCACTATTTAAATAAGGGGATTTTGTTATCAGACCCAGCATTATTTATCGTGTAGATGATTCATAAACACTTGTGACAGATGGTACCGTTCAATTTGGAAAGTTAAATAGCCTAATTACAAACTCTGGAGCGAGGAACTGATAACACCTGTTTTGCAGGATTACACACAGATCACTTTAAGAATTATTCAAACTTTATTTTTATATAATGTTTATGAAATTAAGATGCATTTGAAATATTTTAAAGGCTACAATTAACAGTGATTTTATTCATTAATAACCTCATTTGCAATCGCAATTAATATCTCAATCTCTAAACTGTAAACAGTGCTTGACCAACAGCACAAAACCCCAAAACATTTAGTTTCCGATCACATAAAACTAGCTTCAGAACCTAAGGGTCGCCGGTTCAAGTCCCCAAAGAACCAAATACAGCGTGTGGACTGGTGCCTGGAGAGGGGCCAGATCTCCACACTGATCCCCTGGAGCTGAATATATAATAGCTGCCCACTGCTCCTAATACTAAGATGTGTGAAATGCAGAGACTTAATTCCCCTGTGTTTGCTATGTCCCATTAACAAGTTGATTACATTCTAGGCTTGTCAATAAGCACTTGAATTGCTGCTGACAATGGATAGCAAACGTAAGCAGGGTATCACACTAAAGTAGGCTGGAAATAAGGTAAACATCAACATATTAGAATTGTCATTGTGAGCATATTGACATTCTGACATTGATCTTTAAAGAGGCCATATTATGCTTTTTGGGGTTTTCCCTTTCCTGTAGAGTGTTATAGGTTTTTGTACGTCTCCAGACTGGGCTCTTGTTTCCGACAGAGGGTGGAAAGAGGCAGCATGAGAAAAATAAAGACCTTTTTTTTTTTTTTTTAACATTAAAGCATGTAAACATAATAAATGTGCTATATAAAAAAATAAAAAATAAAGATAAACATGTCCCAGTAGAGGAACAAAATACCGATATGAACCTGAAAATGAGCATAAATACAGCATCACAGAGCCACCTGGCTAAAGAATCTTCTGTTCAGCTTGGCAGCTTTTAAGGGAAAATGACTTGGGGATGTATTCAGACATGATCAATTTGTTAAATTCCTAACAAATGTATGGAGTGATGTGCATGTCCTAACAGGGCTATAGATGTATGTGTGTGCAGCTGCTGTACCTGCATGCCAGTAGGGCTCAGTAGGCTCCACCAATCCCTGTCCAGGCCGAAGACAAAGGCATTGGCCAAGCCGTGGAGTGGTGCCGACAGGACGTGCAACAGGGTGAGCAAGAAGGATGGATCCTTTGGGTAGAAGGCATTATGGAGTCTGTAGGAGGAGAGAGCGGAAGAGAGGGAGTATTGAGTTCATCCATTTCAAAGTTGTAAATAAAGAGACAACCTGCGAGAGAGCTTCAGCGGTGAGGTTGAAGTAATCGAAAGAGAAGTCAGAAGGAGTAGAGAGGCAGCAACAGGAGAACGAAGGGTAAAGACAGAGAGCGAGAGGTTGATAGACAGCCACAGAAAAGGGGAGAGAGGACAATTGAGTGACAGACTGAGGGACAGGGTGAGAGGAAGAGGTAATGAGAGCAGGCGGCAGAGGCAGAGAAAGAGAGGGGGAGAGAAAGAAAAAAGGGTAGGGCGAAAGAGCGAGTGAGCTTTATATCAGCGTTTAAGAGCCCATTAGGCAGCGTGAGACGGCTGGGCTGACACATTCTTGGCTGCCGCCTCGACAGCACGCAGCACTTTACAAGGACAGGGAGAAGAGTAGCGCTCAACTCCCTTCCTCTGCTTTTCTTCTTTTTATCTCATCTCAGTTTCCTGCTTCTCCTGACCACAAATTCACCATCCCATTTTCTCCTTCTTTTTTTTCATTCCACACACGTTTTCTACAAACGGCCCTTCCCCCCCCCTTCTACGCTATCTCTCCCATTTCTTTGCATTCGGTTTCATCTGTCTGGATATCTCATTTTCATCTTGACTCATGAGGGCGATCCTCGAATCTTTTCTTTTCAATTCCCCTCGCTGTGCCTATCTCCCCGGGAGCCTGGGGCATCACTGGAAGGAGAACCTGATATTGTGTGGTGTGGCTGCAAAACTAATGGCTGCCTCCGAGAACGATGCTGCTTAGCCATTAACCCTGGATTAACCCTGTATTAGCACTGCTCGTTGGGTTAGCCCACCGCTAATGTCTTTTATTGATCTATTAGCGAGAGAATCAAACCGCACACAGCTCATAGCGTTTTCCCCCTGTGGTCCTGGGTGGGGTGTGTAGACTGAACTAAGTGGCCGTGGTGGTTGACCTCGGGGTCCTGAAAGTCTTCCCTGAGCACCTTGTGCCCCGAAGGGAAGGGAGATACAAAACCAACCATTTGAGGAAGAGAACCACTGTTGTGGTTACAAGGAGTTACGTGAGACCCCACAGTCACTCATCTCCTTGTGACTGACAGTGAGAGGAGGAAACACATCTTCAGTCTAAAATGAGAATGGTTTTGTTTTACTCTTCTTAACACCAAAACTGTTATATTTCAAACTATTCTTCCAATTAAAAACGTTACAACAGTGTTGCCAATAGTGTGACAGCATTGAAACAAACACATTGATATGACAGTCTATTCCATCAACCAAACACAATATTTCTAACAATAATGTCAGCAAAAAAACAACATTAGTCTCTAACAGTATGCAATAATAATGTAAGATTTTTTCTGTTCGATGTTTGCTAAATTGTCCATATTTTTTTCAAAGCATAAATCAAGCATTTAAAATATGCACAATAGATTCACTCAATACGTACACTACGGCATTCAAGGTGCAGACGCTAGGAATAATAGAGTATTACTTTGATGATCGTTTCAAAGCAGTTTCCATGACTATGTTAAGAAAACCGCTAACACCAACCCCCAAGGAAGATTGCTGGTCCTGAGGCCATTTTTTGGCCAAATTGGGAAATAACAACTTCAGTTTCAGTCGTGTGATACACAAAAGTACATTTTCCAATTGAATCACAATGGGAAAGAGACATCTGTAAATCAGCAAAAAAAGTGAATGCGATATTTTCCCTTCTCCAATCATGTGAATAAGCCGAGACGAGAAGCTAGGAGGCGGGTTTAGGTGAAACACTAGGGCAAGTACTTCATAGGCTAATAGATGCAGAGGATCAAAGGATGATACAGGTAATTATATAATTGAGCCATTCATCTTCATTCAACTCCTGAGCAACTTTCATATGGAATGAAAAGCAGCCGGCCTCCTACTCTGCGTCCAGTTCTATTTATACATCCATGGCCTACACTGAGCATTGGTGCCAAAAGTGAGTCGAGTCGAACCATGCAGTAGAAATAAGGCATAAGGAAGCACATCATTAGGATCCATTTGACACCCAGTGAGAACTGCAGGTGAACAGCGCAGAAGATGATTATGGAGATTCTTCCTCAAATCTGGTTATAATCCTCTTTTGCAGCACAAGGTTTCAAGGTTTATTGGCCACTAATCTTTCTCCATTTACCCTCCAACTAGCTCTTGAAAAGTTGTGACAGGGGAAGAAAGTTGGGTTGGCCGAAAGTTGCAGGCCAATCTATAATGAGAACCTACCTGCTTTAAGTCATTTGGGGTAATGGTGTCAACTAAATGCGGTTTAAAATAAAACCAACAGTGCAGCTTGTGGAGACCAAAGTGGCGTGTCCTGGCACTTGTCGGAGTAAGGACCATTTCGGAGCGACGCTGCCTATTTTCTGGGTTAGCCTACTGCTGTATCTCCGAGGACCAGACCAGCTGCTGCTCACATTCATTTCACTTCCCATTAAAGGTGAAATAAATCAGGAGTCCCCACACAACCTCCTTAGAGACACAGGAAACACACACACACACACACACACACACACACACACACACCACACACACACACACACACACACACACACACACACACACACACACACACACACACCACACACACACACACACACACACCACACACACACACACACACACACACACCACACACACACACACACACACCACACACACACACACACACACACACACACACACACACACACACACACACACACACACACACACACACACACACACAAACGGAGGAAGTCGGACATGCAAAACCACACACATGCACATCATGGTCTGTGCGTAGGTGGGTACACACAGTATAACGTAGGTCATGTGCATTGAGGATGTCAGGTGGAGAGGAAATGCTGTGGACGAGCGTTTGTGTGTGCGTCTGCCATTGTGTGTGTGTCTGTGCGTGTGTGTGTGTTTCTCTGACAGCGCAGCGGTGAGAGTGAGTGGGTCTGTGTGAAGGGGGGCTATTTCTGGCGTCTCATTTTTTTTCCCTGCTGCCGCAAAGAAATGCGATCGGCGTCCGGGAAACGAGAGCTGGCAGCAAGCAATCATCTGCCTGCCACACACACACATACACACACACACACACACACAGCACCTCGCAGCGCCGAGCAACACGCGCCATGGCAACGGAACAGCCGCAATTAGAGGCGAAGAGCCTTTCCCCTCCATCGAGGGAGAGACGGAGAGCGAAATGAAAGGAGGAAAGAAAGAGCAGGCGAGAGAGAGAGAGACAGGAAGAGGGGAGGGGAGGGAGGGAGGGGGGGAGACAAGTGTCAAAGAAACGGCACCGCACAGGAAGGAGAGAGGGAGAGGAAAGGAGAACACGATAAAGAGGTGAGAATGTGCAAGAGGGAGGCTGCGAAGGGAAACGAGGGCCGAGAGCAATGGAGGAGGAGGAGGAGGAGGAGGAGGGAGGAGGAGGAGGAGGAGGAGGAGGAAGGGAGTGAGGCTGAAAGGAAAACACTAAAAAGCAGAGGAGGTAAAGAGCTAGGTAGAGGAGGAGGAGTAGGGGGAAGAGATATCCAAAAAGACAGATTGCAAGACATGAGCGAGAAAAACAAAAGAGATTACGTGCAAGAGAAACCACGATAAGACGAGGGGGAGAAAAAAAGGCGAGGAGGTTAGATAGAGAGAGAAGGGAGCGACGGGTGGAGGCGTGTGGAGAAGGAGGAGGAGGGGGGGTGGGCTGCTTCTCCTGTGTGAGCCGGGCTAATGAAAGATGAATGAGGGAGGCAGTGGTGGGAAGGAGAGTGTGGCTGCGGGCGATGCCTGGCTGAGCTGCTGGGTGTGTGTGTGTGTGTGTGTGTGTGTGTGTGTGTGTGTGTGTGTGTGTGTGTGTGGCGCAGTCGAGTGAGTCTCACAATTGGCTGACTGGTGTTGGACAACAGGGATGATATTGTGTGTACTGTATGACTCGGGAGCAAACGGTCAACAACAATAAACACACTCGCACGCTCACACCCACACACACAGCAGCAGGCGCTTTCAGTGGAAGCCTGTTGCCACCTGTACGCATGAAGTCAATCATTAGTAACCGCACAGCGTCTCCGAGCCTTGCTCACTTATTCAGACCGTCCATCTATCATGCTGTCAGTCACTTTGAACCCGTCTCTCTCCCTCACCCTCCAGATTCACTGCAAAATCCCTCATCCGCTGCCTCTCCCTATCTCTTCCAATATCCCACCCTGCCAGTCTATACCACTTTCCAGGCATCAATTTCTCTCCTCCCGCCATCAGAGTTCACCTTTTTTGTCTGCCTCTAATTGTTGTGGCGAACATCCTCGGGGCTGTGGGAAAGGCGTATTGTAACAGCTTGGATGAGAACTCCCTCCAGAGAGTGGAGGGCGGCCAGACAGAGAAGTCATCCTGACCCCGACTACACTTCTTCTTCTTCTTCTTCTTCTTCTTCTTCTTCTTCTTCTTCTTCTTCTTCTTCTCTTCGACGGACTGACTGCTTTTTTTCTTTCTTCCTCCAGACGAATCACATGCTTCGCAGTGCCAAAACAAGTCCCTAGTGCAGCTGCTGACAGCAGATCTGAACTTTTATCTGACTAAAAGGGATAATTCTGCCAAAACGAGCTTAATTCTTCGACACAGGGCAAAGTCAGAATGTGATTTTCATGAAACACTCCGTTACAGTTTGACTACATCCAGATATGACAATAAAGGCATGAATACATAATCAAACTGAACATGTGATTTCAACCTTAATTTCTGAGGATAATACCATTTTGGTGCACTATTTAGGGATTTATAGATGATACTTTAATTTCTACATAACCTATGACCAGCTGTGATGATACTTACTGGAGAGTGTACTACCTGCAGAGTGCTTTAAACTCAAGAGACCATTTTAATGCACTATTTAATTAAATGTAGTTCCAATTAGAGAAATAAAATAGTAACACCAGATGACAGAATAACCCAGAAACAAACACAAGGATAACAATTAACAAGAAATTGCCA